TAATTATTATCCAGGGAAGCCACAGACGGTTTTGTAGGCAAGGAAAACAATACTTACAGCTCACTCTAAAGCTCCCCTATGAATAGCACGCACATAGTCAAATCGTGTAAATACTGAGTGCTGGGTTTTGCTACAGCCCTACTGAAATTCTATCTGAAGGTGAGATGAGAAAGGTTTGCAGGTTTTCATTTCAAGATTATCAACCAAAAGAGAGGAAAGTTATTGTCTTTGATGTGTGGAAAACAGCAGGAGTGGTGCCGGGGACAGCTGTTATTGGTGAGACACTTCCAGAACTATTTGTCTCTTTAAATCATGGGCATCTAGGGCGCCGGGTGGCTCATTCGGTTAAGCATCTGCCTTCCGCTCAGGTCATGTTCCCAGGGTGCTGCATCGGAGTCTGCTTCTTCCTCACCCCTTTGCTCGTGATCGCTCATGCTCTCCAATAAACGACTTTTAAAAAAACCTTTTGGGCGCCTGGGTGGCTCAGTTGGTTGAGCGACTGCCTACGGCTCAGGTCATGATCCTGGAGTCCCTGGATCGAGTCCCTGGATCGAGTCCCTGGATCGAGTCCCTGGATCGAGTCCCTGGATCGAGTCCCTGGATCGAGTCCCGCATCGGGCTCCCTGCTTGGCGAGGAGCCTGCTTCTCCCTCTAACCCTCCCCCCTCTCATGTACTCTCTCTTGCTCTCTCAAAAAAAGAAATAAATCTTTAAAAAAAAAAAAATCTTTCAATCCTGTGCATCTATAGCTTTGATCAAAATTTTAGAATTTAAAAGAAAGAAAAGGAGGAGGCGGGAAAGAAGGAAGGAAGGGAGAGGGGAAGGGAGGGAGGGAGGGAGGAGGAAGATAGGGAGGAGCCAGGGCATTCAGGAATTCAAAGCAGGGGCGTACTTGATCTGATTGACATTTTTTAAGCCTCGAGTAAGTTCCTTCCGCGTCAGGGCTCTGATTTCCTCCTCTGTATCTGGAAGGGTCCGATGACACCTCCCAGAAGACCCTGTCAGAACAGAGGTAAATATTGAAATGCTCAAGGGCAGTAGCTCTGAAGAAGAATGGCCAGGCGTGCCTATTGAAAATGTACATCCCCCAAGTCCAGTCTCTGGAGACTGCCTCCCCGGGGTGAGGTCGGTAGGCCTGGGGACGTGGCTTTTTAAATAAGCACCGCGATGCATGTGGGCTACTGGGCATGTCTTGAGCAACCGTGCTCCACGCCAGAGCCCAGGAGGTGCAGGGTCACACTGGATCACAAGCCAATCCTCACGACATCAGGAAGAGAGTGCCAATTCCGTGTGCTGTCACTTTAACATCCTCCTAGCACAGTACCTCGTGAATAACTCTCCCCGGAACAAGGAACCAGCTGCCTGCAAACAGAACCCACCTAGAGTTGAGTAACCCTTCTCATAGCACTCATGTCTCCCGTGATCTTCTCTTATGGGAACTGAAACTGATTTTCAATTTACAGTAGGGACACAAAGTTGCCTTTAAAATAGACTCACTTAAATTTATAGAAGGGAAAAGGAAGCGGAAAATAGCAGAGAAAGGGAATCCAAAGATGCATTTTAGGGTGGGAAAACAGGAAAGCATCGCTACCTTTTCTTAGCCTCCCTGTGCCGGGCACATACATACGGGCAATATTGGTTTATGCCACAAGAATGACCTACAAATAAAAAAACGTTGAATATATTTAGAAATGTGTTGTTCTTGCATGTGAGTTACATGATAAATGGAAAACTTGACCTGACAATGGATCATAATCATGATGGTTTGGGTAAAGAACATTGAGAGACTATGCTCTACAAGAAATATAGAAATGGGGACACCTGTCTGGTTCAGTTGGAAGATCATTCGACTCTTGATCTTGGGGCTGTGAGTTCGAGCCCCACGTTAGGTGCAGAGATTACTTAAATAAATATTTTTTTTAAGAGAAAGAAAATATACAAATGGGGGCGCCTGGGTGGCTCAGTCATTAAGCGTCTGCCTTCAGCTCAGGTCATGATCCCAGGGTCTTGAGATCCAGTCCCACATCGGGCTCCTTGCTCAGCGGGAAGCCTGCTTCTCCCTCTCCCACTCCCCCTGCTTGTGTTCCCTCTCTGGCTGTCTCTCTCTCTCTGTTGAAAAATAAATAAAATCTTAAAAAAAAAAATTAAAAAAAAAAAAGAAAGAAAATATACAAATGGCCAATAAGCACATGAAACCATGTTCAACACCATTCGTCATCAGGGAAATACAGATCAAAACCACAATGAGATCCCACTTCATATCCATGAAAAGGGCGATGAACAAATATACAGGAAAGAACAAGTGTTGACAAGGATGTGGGCAAATTGGAACCCTTGTGCATTGCGCGGGTGGGAATGAAAAATGGTGCAGCCCCTGTGGAAAACAGCGTGGTAGCTTCTCAAAAAAATTCAACATAGAGTTACCATATAATCTAGCAATTCTGCTTCTAGGTATATACTCAAAAGAATTAAACAGGATTCAAACATATTTGTATACCAGTGTTCACAACAGCATTATTCACAATAGCCTCCCCCCGCAAAAATGAATAAAGGGGTGCCTGGCTGGCTCCGTGGGTGGAGCGCATGACTCTTGATTTTGAGGTCGTGAGTTCAAGCCCCACGTTGGGTGCGGCACTTACTTGAGAGCATTATGCCAAATGGACTAAGCAAGACACAAAAGGACAAATATTGTGTGATTCCACTTATATAAGGTACCTAGAGTAGTCAAATTCAGAGACAGAAAGAAGAATAGAGGGTACCAGGGGTTGGGGGTGGGGAGAATGGTTTTGCTTTGTCTTTTAATAGATAGAGAGTTTCGGTTTGGAATGATGACAAAGTTCTGGAGACGGTGGGGATGGATGGTTGCACACCACAGTGAATGCATCTGAGCGTGATGCATTGTGAATGTGCTGTCTGAACCGCACTCTCAAAAACTGTCAAAATGGTAAACTTTAGGTTGTATGTATTTTACCACAATTTAAAAAAAAAGAATGGGTGATTTATAAAATCCAAACATTTTGCCCAGAAACAATAAGTCTTATAGCCATAGGCTCTCCTCTCCCTGAGGATACAGATTACAATTTTTTTTTTTAGTTCTCTTCTGCTCCCCACCTTGTCTGTTCCTTCAGTTTTGCTTGTTTTGATCCTTGTCTTTTAGATATAAGCCTGCAAGGAAGTTCTGGGGATCCTTGGCCACCCACTCATCTTTAAGAGTGAGTCAACAAACGCTGACTGGGAACGGTGTGTGAACAGGGCCATTTCATTGGAGGACCCCACATGACACTTGAGCTGGTCAGTTCCTCTAGAGAGAAGCCCTCCAGTCTTGACTGGTGGGTGGAGTTTGGGGGTACAGTATGGTGGCTGCCAACAGACTTGGACCCAACCAGCGAAAGGGGCTGGGGCCCCCACTGCTCAGTGTGTAGACTTTCACCCCATCCTCCAATTTTAAATGTTGTGTCCCACCCTCAGCTCTAACTGGTATCCCCAAGTCCAGACTCCCCTTTAGAGCAATCTCTCCAGAAAAGAAATCTCCAAACATCTGTGGGAGGGTGAAGGGGGAAGGTCTCCTGCTGGTTGTGTGAGGTAAGGGAGGGTATCTGGGGGGAGGAGGGGTCCTAATGGCGTCTCATAAAAACTTCTGTCCCATCAGCCTGTGTTCTACTCCTCTCAGAGCACCTGTCTCCCAATTCATAAGACCTTGGGGGATTTTGAAGTGGGAATTCTGGGCTTCTGCCTTCTCCTGTCTGTTAAATCAGTTGCTGACATTTCCATACTCATTTTCCTGTCCTTGTAGGTTTATGCCTTAAACTTGGTATTTTAGTGGGATTCCAGGAGGGTGGAGGTAAAGTATGTGGGAGTGCGCCGCTGGAATTCTATTCCCGGTCACACGGCCCCCACCATAGCACCAGCAAGGCTCTGGGCGGGGTCCCAGACACTACGGTGGGATTTGGTCACGTGCCTGCCAGAGCTTGGCGGCACAGAGCCGGGCTGGTTGCCTTCATCACGCTCAGCAGCCCATGGCACAGCCTCTGAGGTCTCCTTGTTGACAGACCCAGGAATCATTTCTGCCTTCCTCTGATGCAACTCTCAGATTTGACCAATCTCTTGGCTTTCATGAAACACCCCCTCTGGGTCCTCCTTGTACCTCACTGACTGATCCTCCCTGGATCTGCCTCCAAGTTCCATGACTTCCAAATGGCAGAGAACCAATAGGGCACAGCCCATTCCCTCTTCTCTATCTACATTCTCTGCCTAGGATGCTCAGGAGCACGGACCCCAGCCCTGTGCTCTAGACCCGGCAGTGGTTTCTCCGCTTGGATGTCTACTAGGCATCTCAGAGAGCATTTCCAGACCAGAGCCCCCAAATCTGTCAGTCCCCCAAACTGAACCCCATACCTCCTCCCTGACATCTCTCCCTCTCTCCTTCGATGCATCCCTGCCTCCTTTGCTTACTCATTTTCTCTCGCGCTTGATTTTTAACCTCCAAGGGGGCAAAGACTGGGTCTTGCCTGGGCAGTCTTCACAGTACCTAAGGAAGTAAGAGGCACATGGTTGGTTCTCAAAATTATTTATTGGCAGCAATAAAATAATGAACGCAGGCCAAGAAGAGCTGTAGAAAGTGGAGAGGTGGGGCTGCAGAGGCTTTTAGAGGCTAAGAAGGCAAAGAAACAAAGAGGGGCCCAAATGTATCTCTGTCCCCGGCTTGGATCCTGACTCTCTCTGTGGCCCTGCATCCCTGAAAGGTCCGGGTCCCCTAACCTCAGGACACCCAGTCCCTGCTCACCCTGCACTGCAGAGCCTCCCAGCCCCGTCTGGGCCCTGGGCCGGGCGTGTGTTTGCTTACCGGGTGGCAAAGGGGCTCCGTGCGCACTCGGAATGGGGGACAGCAATCCGTCGCGCGGGGCCGGCGCCTTGCGGGGCGGGGTGTGTCGTGTCCCCAGCTGAGCCGCCAGCTTTAAAGGTCTCAGCGGCCCAGCAGACAGCCAGACTTGGGCCGGCACCATGGCCAAGCTCAGCGTGAGAGTGTCCACCGGGGAGGCCATCGGGGCTGGCGCGTGGAACAAAATAGCTGTCAGCATCGTGGGGGCCCGAGGAGAGACCCCCCCCCACTGCGCCTGGACCACCCGGGCAAGGAGTTCAGCGCGGGCGCCGTGAGTGCCCTGCGGGCCGGGGTGGAGGCGGAGGAGGGAGCAGGGAGCAGGGGACGGGCCCCTCGGATCCTAAGCCTCTCCCCTCCAGGTGGAGGACTTCCAGCTGGAGCCCCCCCAGGACGGGGCCTGGTGCTGCTGCTGGTTCCAGCTCACGCCGCCGCGGGGCGCCCCCCTGCGCCTCCCCTGCTACCAGTGGCTGGAGGGCGCGGAGCCTGTCGCTGCGCGCGGGGGCCGGTGAGCCCGGCGGGGGCAAGGCAAGGGGAGTGGAGGGGTGGGCCGGTGTGGCCCCTGGGGAGGAGCAGGGGGCAGCCGGTGTGGGAGCAGGGGACCCAGGGCGGAGGGCAGAGCAGCTGGGGAGGAGGAGGGGGGGCGTTTCTCTGCCCTCCTCACCCGCTCCTGTGCGCTCACAGCCAAGGTCTCCTGGGCAGACGACCACCCCATCCTCCGGCAACAGCTCCAGGAAGAGCTGCAGGCCAGGCAGGACTCGTACCAGTGAGGAGGGGGCTACTGTGGGGTGCTGGTGGGGGGCGGCGGGGAGTGGGGGTCACCCAAGGGATGTGGGGCAGCCTGGGTTCCCCCGGGATGACACAGACGGAAGTCCCCGCCAGTCCTCTCCGAGGACAACATCAGCATCCGGGGGCTCCTTAGAAATGCAAATTCCCCGACACCCTCAGGCCTGCTGAATACCGAGGGTGCCGGCAGCAATTCTGTTGGGACCAGCCTTCCGGAGCATTCTGATGCCCCGGGAGAGTGGGAAAACCAGGGCTGGGAATACCTCACCCCTGCAGGGGTCTTGCTTGCCCTGGGCCTTTTTCATCCATCAGCTTGTTTTATCCTCCTGGAAATCTGGGCGGAACCAGAAATCCACGCCCCCCTCCAAGCCCAGGAAACTCATCCTGCAGGGCAGGTGGGAGGAGGGCTCTTCCTCTGCCCCAGGCTCAGCTGGGAGAGGCGGGTCCCAGAGGCTGCCTTGGTGAGGGGTGGAGGCTGCAGGGGAGCTAGGGCTGCAGGTAGGCGGACAAAGCCAGGGACCACAGGGCGCTCAGGGGCAGGTTTTCAAAAAGGTCGTGTTCTGGCCAACTCAGCTGCTCCCAAAGCCCGGGCTGTAGGCTTTTGCTCCAGGTCTCTCAGCTACATGGGCTCCAGCTGTTTAGGCCCTCAGGCCTTGAAGTGTGGCCTCGGATCACAGTGTCAGCATCACCTGGGAGCTCGCGGGCTCTGGGGCCCACCCACGCCAGACCTGCTACATCAGAACCTGCATTTCACCAAGATCTCTGGGTGAATGGGTTTGTACACTCCCGTGTGAGAAGCAGGGTTGGGCCACCACCTAGGAGCAGTGTACTTTAATTGCCCCTTGTTCTTTGAAGTCGAAAGTTCCAGCCCAAGGGCAATGACTGACTGAATGAATAAGAGAAGGACTGGCCTGGGGCGAGGTGGGGGGTGTGCTCAGCTTCCGGGGACAGGATTTTACCATTGCACCCAAAGTCTTCAGGCTGTATTGATTGCTTGATCAAGGTGCCTGAGGCCTGGGGAAGAGTAAATTTCTGCCCCCCCTCAAGCTTATGGAAGTCAAAGTGCCTCCCCTTGGGATGCCTGCCCAAGGTTCCTGAAGCCTTCATGAACTCCCTTGTGAGATGCATCTATGTGAGTCAGGGATTTTGTGGTTGCGAGAAAAAAAAAAAAAGGCCAGCGAGCAGACTGGGGGTGGGGGCGGAGGGTGGGAGTGTGTCAGGAGGACACACGCCCACAGACGTACTGGAAGGGTAGCCAGATCTCAGAGGCCAGAAACCAAGGTGATTCTCTCCCTGTCTCTGGGGGCCTAGATGCTTCTCTCTTTCTCTTGTTTCACGTTTCTCTTTCTCCCTCTGTAGACAGCTTTCTTTGGGTCCCAGTCCCTACAGTGGAAAGTGGCCATAACTAACAGTCCCTATGTTTGCATGTGGTAGTCCAGATATCCAGACAGATAGTCTCTCTGGCTCAGCCCTGTTAAAAAAAAAAAAAAAAAATTCAACCAAGTCCATTTGAAGATCAAGTTGGCTTTATTCGATGATTTGCGAATCAGGCAGCGTCCGCTCTAGCAGAGAAGGAGTTCTGAGGAGCCGTGCAAAATGATAGGCTTTTCTAGGCAGATGGGGACAGAAAAAGGCAGTTTCTAGCAAAAAAGCGGATTGTTTCAGGCAAGATCACCTTCCTTTGAGGAAAGGTGGGGATCTATCAGGCAGGTTACCTCTCTGGTGATGACCCAGTAATTCCAGGTTGACTGGTTAAAGGTCATGTTCCTGGGAGCGGCTGACCTCGCAGATAGCTTAGGCATGAAGCCTTGGTTTGCAGACGTGGGCTTAGCACAAGTGACTCCATTTTGGACCCGATGTCTGATTCCTCAGAAAGGACGTTGATTGGCCTAGCTCTGGTTAGGTGCCCAGGCCTGGACCAGTCAGCTGTGGGAACGAGGCAGGGACAGAGCTCGGGAATACCCTCGCTCATAGAAGGGGGCTGGCTCTGACGAGGGCTTCCAGGGCCCTACCTCTGCCTTTGCCCCAGTCGGTGGGTTCCCTGAGCCTTCTTGTGGACAACCTTCCTGCTCCTCCCTCCAGCTGGAAGACTTACAGGCCAGGCTGGCCCCACTGTCTGGATGAGAAGTCTGTGAAAGATCTGGATCTCAACATCAAATACTCTGTCACGAAGAATTCCTGCTTCTACCTGAAATTCAGCTCTGCGTAAGGATGCCCACTCCCTCCCGATCCTGGGCCTCAGCTGCCCTGGGACTCCCACCTTCTGCCCTCCCCCACTGTCAAGGACGTGGGTCACACAGTCCTACCCAGGGCACAGGCTCTGCCCACCACCAATTCCCACGAGACCGTGATGACCTCAGGGGCAGTGGCTACTTGGGGACCTGGGGGCTGGTTTGAGAGCCCAGGAAGGATAAGGCCAGCTGACAGGGAAGGGTCTCCCAGGGCCTCTTGTCCCCTCCCCACCCTTGACACCCCCTGACAGGTTTACAGAGCTAAAACTCAAGGGGCTGCTGGACCGCAAGGGGCTCTGGAAGAGTCTGAATGAGATGAGAAGGATGTTGAACTTCCGCAAGACGCCGGCCGCTGGTGAGGAACTCGGGCTGGAGCTCCTGAGTTCTTCCCTGAGACCTCAGCTCTCCTAGCTGTCTGGAGCCTCAGAAAACCAAGCACTGATTCACCGTGTGACCCTGGGCAGGCCCCTGTCCCTCGATAGACCTTACTTCCTCCACAGATACAAAAGAGGGTGGAGACTGGGTGCATCCCTAACCTTCTAACGCCCCTTAATCCAACAGACATTTGCTGGGCAGTGACCCATCAGACACTGGGTTAGGGCTGTGGACACAGTCTTTGTCCCCACCGGGCTCACAGTTGAGCAGGTGAGTGGACAATAGGCTCAAAATCAAAATACTGAGTTTCCCTTGTGAAACCTGTTCATTGGCCCCAGCAAAAGTACATAAAAGGGGGTCTTGCCTTGTGTGGGCCGTGGGGGGGTGGTGTGTGTCCTGGAAAGCTGTCTCCAGGAGGGGACGTGTCTCTTGAGACCTTGAAGTTGAGTAGGTATTAACAGTACCAAGAATGGGCAGAGTGCGTTTTCGGCTCAGGGGACAGTGAATGCAAAGGCCCTGAAGATGGAAGGACCAGAGGCCTTCTGGGGGGAAAGAGACCTCTGCCTTGGCCAAAGGGAGGGAAAATAAGAGACAGAGTGGGGATAGGTGCACGGGACCCCGGGGCACACAGGGCTGGGGAGCCCAGGGTGGGAACTCGGGCTTTTCCCAAGTGCAGTGGGAAGCTTTGGCTGGCTGCCAGGCAAGGACTGAACAGCCAGATGTGCCCTCTGGGGGGCAGGGTGTTAGCAGGTGGGACTGGAAGCAGGAGGAGCAGTTATGAGGCCCTGGCCATGGTCAGCAGAGGATGGTGGCCTCAGCAGGGCAGTGACAGCAGAGACGGGGTGGACAGGTGGGGCCAGAGCTACTCAGGATGGAGCATCAGTGGGGATCGATGGGAGGAGGAGGAGAGGGAGCTCATGTGAGTGGTCCCCAGCTCTGCCTGCAACCAGCTGGATGGGGGTGCAGGTCCCCAGATGCCAGGCGATGGGAGAGGGCCCGGAGCTGTAGCCCCCAGTGCTGTGTTTGAGGCTGCTGAATCCTGGCCTTGGGGCATCAGGTAGACAGGAGGACGGGTGGGCTGGGGACTCGGATTTGCTGCTTGGTGAGAGGCAGTGGCTGAAGCCCAGGCTGAGAAAGGTACCGAGTGTGAAGCGAAGGGAGGTCGGGATGGACCCAAGAGCAAGCAACTCCACCATGAAGCTCAGGGACGGGTGGGAGGCTTCCATGTTGAGATGACCTGGTCCCCCGCTCCCCCCGCTGCCCTCCCCCCCCCCAGAGTACGTGTTTAAACACTGGCAGGAGGACGCCTTCTTCGCCTCCCAGTTCCTGAATGGCCTCAACCCTGTCCTGATCCACCGCTGTCGCCACCTGCCAGAGAACTTCCCCATCACTGATGACATGGTGGCCCCCGTGCTGGGCCCTGGGACCAGTCTGCAGGCTGAGCTGGAGGTGAGGGGCTCGGGGTCCAGGCCCTGCACACCGCCGTCCCGGTGCCTTGGGGCCGTCCCCTGCTGGAGGGCCCTCCTTTTTAGTGCCTAAGGACCTCCTTGTGCTGCGTGCCAACAGCGCCCTCTCCCAGGCAGACGCCTTTCCCCGGCCCTGAGTCCTCTCCCCGCCCCACCCCTGCATCCGTTAGAGGCAGCCCCTGCTCCCCCTCTCCCTCCTGCAGAGGGGCTCCCTGTTCCTGGTGGATCATGGTATCCTCTCTGGCATCCACACCAACGTCGTGAATGGGAGGCCCCAGTTCTCCGCGGCCCCGATGACCCTGCTGTTCCAGCGCCCTGGGGGAGGGTCCCCTGCTGCCCCTTGCCATCCAGGTCAGCGGCAGGGCAGGGGGAGGGAGGGGTTTGGCGGAGGGGCCCCGCAGACACCCCACGGCCACCTCTCCCCGCACCGGCTCCTCCTACAGCTCAGCCAGACCCCGGGGCCCGACAGCCCCATCTTCCTGCCCGGCGACAACAAGAGGGACTGGTTGCTGGCCAAGACATGGGTGCGGAACGCCGAATTCTCTGTCCACGAGGCTGTCACGCACCTGTTGCACGCGCACCTGCTGCCTCACTGCCATCCACTCTTCAAGGTCCGTGGCTCGGCAACGTGGCCCACACTGTGTCCCTGCACCCCGGGCGTGCTCAGCAGCCTGGGCCCCGTGGCCCCCTCCCTCCAGGCGCAGAGCCCCCATCCTGCTGCAGCACGCCCTCCCTGGCAGCCTGCTTTCCCACAGGCCCTGAGCTGGGGCGAGGGGTGCAGGGGCTGGCGGGAGGAAGGGGGCTGCTTGGGACTTCTTAGGGGAGAGCAGAGGGACAGCCAGCTGCCGTCCAGAAGCCCTGTTCCTAGGCAAGATCTAAGGCAGATGTCAGAGCGTGCCCTTGGCTTTGAGGGAACAGCAGGTTGCTTGCAGAAGGGGCGAGGGAACCCTGGGACGGAGACCCGCGTCTCTAACCTGGGCTCCGCTAAGCCTTCAGATGGCCCAGATTGCTTTTCCCCAGGGACCTGGGGCATCTCTTCTCCGAAGGGCAGGAATTTCTCCCATGCAGGCGGGGTCCACGGCTCTTTGGATTCTCTGATTCTTACTGAGGCAGGCTCCTGAGTCCCAGACGCAGGACCTTTTCTATCCTCTCCAGTCCAGGCTGATTGTTTCTGACCCTCGGCAGGTCCCAGGGCCTGGTACTCTGCGGGGATGGTTCCATTTTGCTCTGCCGGCCCCACTTTTCATGGTGCTTTGCCTGCGCACGGGTTAGTAAATCACAGGATGCCAGAGCCGGGGGGCTCGTAGTGCTCCTCCAGATCAGCCTCCTCATTTGCCCGGAGAGAGGAAGGCGCCAGGCCCGGGTCATAGCACAGGATGCCGGTGGAAGCCCAGCCCCTGGCACGAGGTCTGGGGCCCTGATCCCTGTCCCCGGCTGGTCCTCTTGTCGCTGTCATCTCTTTCCATGGTGATTTATAAGACTTGGTGCCTCTCTGGCCCCAGACCTCACCCACCTGTGTCTTCTCCGACCCTTACAGCTGTTGATCCCCCACACTTGGTACACCCTGCATATCAACACTCTTGCCCGCGAGCTGTTCTTCGCCCCGGGGCAGGTGGTGGACAGGGTAAGTCTGCTTCAGGGAGGGTGGCGATGGGAGCGTCCCTGTGTCTCCCGCCAGCGCTGCCTGGGGCCAGCGCTCCGGCACCCAGGAGTTCTGTCTCCCAGTCCACAGGCATTGGCGTTGGAGGCTTCTCGGAGCTGATACAGAGGAACATGGAACAGTTGAGCTATTCCGTCCTGTGTCTGCCTGAGGATATCCAGGCCCGAGGAGTCGAAGACATCCCGAATTACTACTACCGGGATGATGGGTTGCAGATCTGGGGTGCAGTGGAGAGGTGAGGTAGCCATCCCCAACGAGCCGGGGGTGGGGGAGGCAAGAAGATGGGGGAGGAGCGGGAGGGCCCAGGGAGGCTCCCGACAAGGAGGGGGGCTGGACATGAATGACACTGAGCCGTGTTGCTCCTCAGGGAGGGAGGGTCAGGGTCAAAAGTCGGGACTGAACCCAGTGCACCTTGCAGCTTTGTCTCCGAAATAATCAACATCTACTACCCAAGTGATGCATCGGTGCATGATGACCATGAACTCCAAGCCTGGGTGTGGGAGATCTTCTCGGAGGGCTTCCTGGGCAGGGAGAGCTCAGGTATGGGGACCTCAGCCCTTGGACCCCACTCTCAGCCCCCTGCAGCAGGGTCCTGAGGACCCTGGCAGCCGCATGCCTGGCCCCCCTCCCCCCGCAGGTGTGCCCTCCGCGCTGGAGACCCGGGAAGCCCTGGTCCAGTACGTCACCATGGTCATCTTCAACTGCTCAGCCAAGCACTACGCCGTCAGTGCCGGGCAGGTGAGGACGGTCGGTGCCGGGACGGGGGTAGGGAGGGGGGCCGGGCTCCTAGGACTCAACGTTGCCTTCTTGGCTTTCAGTTTGACTCCTGTGTCTGGATGCCCAACCTGCCTCCCACCATGCAGCTGCCACCCCACACCTGCAAAGGCCAGACAACGCCAGAGGGGTTTCTAGCCACCCTCCCGCTGGTCAATGCCACATGTGACATTATCATTGCCCTCTGGCTGCTAAGCAAGGAGCCTGGGGACCAAGTGAGTGTGGGGCTGGGGGCCAGGCCAGGCCAGCTCTGGGGTGTGCGAGGGGGTGTCTTTTCCCTTCTCTGGCACAGACCCCACCCTGCCTTCAAGACGCTGGGTTTCTTCACCCACTGAACCTTCCCAGGGGGACACATGAACGTTGGAGGGTCAAATGATCAAATGAGTTCATGCAGAGTCACCCTAGCTGCAAGGGGATCACGCTGGGGGCTGGGGACTCCCCTTGGAAAACTCTGACTTGAGCTTTCAGTCCCCAAGAGCTGCCTGCAGTGACCCTCATTGCCTAAAGGGAGGGATAGGGCTGAGGCTCAGAGGGAGGCTACTTCCAGGTCCCCGGGGTGGACAGCTAACGGGGGTCCCAGCTGCTGAGCAGCCCCTTCATTCAACCTTGTGGTTGGTTCCCAGCGACCCCTGGGCACCTACCCAGAGGAGCACTTCACGGAGGAGGCTCCTTAGCAGAGCATCACCGCCTTCCAGAGCTGCCTGGCCCAAATCTCGAAGGATATCCGGGAGCGGAACCAGAGGCTGTCACTGCCCTATACCTACCTGGACCCTCCGCTCATTGAAAACAGCGTATCCATCTAAATCCCCTGGAGAACAGGGTGCTCTGAGGCATCCTTTGGACCCCATAAAACCAGGCCCCCATATGCCTCTCCTGGGACAACCAAACCACACGGAACTCACCCCACACACCACAAAACAACAGAAACAAAACAGAGAAACAAAAGACCCCAAAGAACAGCACCACCGTACCGTACGTTTTGAAGACACCGAGCTTCAAAGTGCTCAAACACCCACAGCTCCCTTAAAGGGTTTTATGACTTTGTGTTGCTTTGCATTTTTGCATTACATTATGATGGGGGGGGAATCCCCTGATACCCGCTGATCCCACTGACCACAGCTGAGTGTAATGGTCGCCTGATGCAGGGCGGCCCTCCTGGCAGGTCGAAAAATTGCCCAAGAGGTTGATAGTGACCTATGGTCTCAGCTATAAAAATGAACAACCCACTAAGAAGGGGCCACCAGAAGCAGGGCAGAAGGAAGTTGACAACTGTCTGGGCAGTACCCACATACGCTTTCCTAAAAACTTGTTCCAAAGGTGGACAAAAAAGCTTGCATATTATAAAGCAGGTTCCATTTCCAGAGAATTAGAAAATAGCAGAGCCATAATAATCCTATGTTGCCTTCCAGATTCTGTCCTCAGTGATGGAATTCCAACAGTGCATACACATTCTTCCCTTCTGTTCTTCTTTCTTCTTGTCCCAAATCAAGAGTCATCCATTAAGGCCAAAATGGCTCCCTTTGGAATTCACCTAATGGTTTCCACCTCTGCCTCATATTGTAGATTTGGTTTTTGAGGTTCGCTAAGTTTTATAAAACAGTGCGGACAGAACGCGATACGTATTTGAATCGCTACACAAACACGACCACTGAGAGAGAGAGCGCGATGCTCTAGGAAATGCTAGAGGGCACTCCCCAGGTGAGACTGTATGCCCCAGATGAGCCAGAGATATAGAGCTCTTAAACTCTTTGGCTTCGAGCAACAGAAGACAATTCCTGATAACTTAAGTGATAAAAGCAATAAAAATGGAGAAGAAACGGAGTCTCAAGGGATTAAAAAAAAAAAAAAGCATTACACACCGTCCTCGGGAAGGACCCAAGGAGGCTCTGGGCACAGGACCCAATGCACAGCATCCTCAGGCACTGCTGTCAGAATGACCAAGCTCCCACCACCTTTTGTCTTTGAATTCTTAGCTTCAGTATGCAAATTCCATAAGGACAGGCCTGTCGGACTTGACTCGGAGGGGCAGAAACAATTAGCTGCTGGGGCGGAAAGCTTGAGCTCGCTAAATAGCTCAGGTTGGGGCCATATGACCGATGCCGGCCAATGGATCGTGGAGGAAGCAACGTATGTCACTTCCACGATGAGGCAGTTGGGAGCCGGGGTGCCTCCCTCATCCTTCCCTCGCCCTTGAGGCTACCTTGGAGGCATGCTCCAGAAGACACGAGCCCCTCCTCCCCTTGATCCCTAGACTGCATGCTCATGAGGACAGGGTTCATAACTGCCCACCACAGTGCCTGGCACACAGCAGGAGCTCAGTAAGTAGGTGTTGAGTGGAGGACATCATACCCAAATGATTCCTCAAACCCTTCCGTGCCCCTTCGCAGTTACCCGTGTGTTTCCCCAACCAGACCATGAGTTTCTTGAAGGCAGGAGCTGGGTCTCATTCCGTTTATATTCCTGGTGCCCAGCACTGTGCTGACACACGAGAGAGAGCTGACAAATGTTTGTCTGATGATGGATAAAAGGGAGAATGAGTGAATGTACGTACGTGTGGACGGATGGATGGACGGACGGATAGATAGAAAGATGGACGGATGGAGGGATGAACTACTGAGTTGGAAGGCAATTGTGCTCCAGTCAATAAGCCGGTATTTGCTTCAATGGATGTCTTTTGGGAGCAACTATTATCTAGAGAAAATGGAGAAACCAAGGCAGCTCAGCAGTGAAAATCCAAGCAGTCAGTCTCCAATCCTCCTTGGAGAAGCCCCCACCCCCTCCACCACACAGGCCTGTGACCCCTCTGACTCTCCTTCTCTCTCTCTTTCTCTCTGTCTCTGTCTGTCTCTCCTCTGTCTCTCACACACATACCCAAGTCCTTGGACTCTTGGCTGATGAGCCATAAGAAGAGAAGTTTGTTAAGGTGACATTCACGTCTAGGGGAAATCTAGTTCAGAGTGGTGGTCCCCTTGGCCTAGGGTGGGGACTTCCTCATGGACAATAAAACACTGGGCATCCAGATCCCAGAGTCATGCTGTGGAGACCCCCGCCCTCTTTGGGCTTGCTGGCCAGAGGGGGAGGAGCAGCTCCCTCTTAACCACCCCGACTCCAGCCTTTCAGTTAGGGAATGAGGGAGTGTAGGGCACAGTAAAAGTGGGGTGGGAGCATCCCTTACCCCTGCCACTCCCTGCCCAGTGTTCCAGCACTGGCTAGAGTGAGTCACGAGGGAAGGAGGGGGGACAAAGGTGTGGGTAGGTGGCAGCAAAAGGGGTAGAAACAGAGATGCAAGACTCTAAGACATTAGCGCGGAAGGGGTTCATGAAACAATACAGAGGCAGGGCGTTTCCAGGCATAAAATTGCAGGCACATAAAAAAGAGGGGTAAGATATACAACCTTAGTAAATATCTGAAGTATAAAAAGAGCTTGTACCAATGAATAACCCAGCAGAAAAGAGGGCACATAATAGGAAATTTTTAAAAGACAGTCCATAAAATAAACCTCAATGTTTAACCAACCTGTGAAAAGATATTTAATCTCACCGATTGTTAGGAAAGTATACCCAGAGTTGTTAAGGGTGTGAAGCAACCGAGTCCTGGTATAAAGGTGGAACAGTGTGCCTTTGGGGGAGAGCTTTCCGGAAGTCTCAATCAGACTTTAAAATCTAAAAGAAAAAAAGAAGTTTAATCCAGCGAACCACTTATAAAAAGGTGTCTTACTAAAAAAAGGCGGAGTGGCCCCTGAGTGACTCAGTCGGTTAAGCATCCAACTCTTGGTTTCAGCTCAGGTCATGATTTCAGGGTTGTGAGATCAAGCCCCGCGTCGGGCTCCGTGCTCAGTGTGGAGTCTACTTGAGATTCTTCCTCTCCCTCTCTCCCCTCACTGTGCATGTGCTCTCTCTCTCTAAAAAAGAAAAGAAAAGAAAAAAATATCCAACAATGATAAAGTCAAAAGGACAACTGCCTGTCCTTTCAAGATATTTAGTTTTCTGGAAGCATGTACCATCCCTTGATTTTGCTATTTATTATTAATAAAGGCCTCGGTCTATGAGAAGTTCACGTAACTTGTGACTGGTAGAGATGCAAATGATTTCTGTTTGGTAAAAAAACAAACAAACAAAAAAGATAACCCCAAGGGTTATAGTTCATTTCCCTTAGGGACTTCGGCTAGTTTTGTGTCTAAACCAGCAATCCTCTCCTGACTTTCCTTTCTCAAATTGTCTATACAGGCACGCCTCAGAAATATTGTGGGTTGGGTTCCAGACCATCACAGTAAAAGCGAGTCAAATGAATTTTTTGGCTTCCCAGTGCATGTGAAAGTTATGTTTACACCATACTCTATTAAGTGTGTCGTAGCGGGATGCCTGGCTGTCTCAGTTGGTGGAGCATGCAACTCTTGATCCCAGAATTCTAAGTCAACCTCCACATTGGGTGTAGAGATTGCTTAAAAATAAAATCTCAACCAAACCAAAACAAAACAAAACAAAAAAACACATGTGCAATAGCATTGTGTCTTAAAAAATGTATATACCTAGGGGCACCTGGGTGGCTCAGTCAGTGAAGCATCTGCCTTCAGCTCAGGTCATGATCCCAGGGTCCTGAGATCGAGCCCCGCATCGGGCTCCCTGCTCAGCGGGAAGTCTGCTTCTCGAGACCTCTCCCTCTGCCTGCCCCTCTCTCTCTCTGTCGAATAAATAAATAAAATCTAAAAAAAAAAAAAATGTACATACCTTAAATTAAAAATACTTTATTGTTAAAAAATGCTAAGTCTCATCTGAGCTTTCAGGGAGTCCTCATGTTTTTGCTGGTGGAGGGTCTTGCCTCACTGTTGATGGCTACCAAGATGCTCAGGGTGATGGCTGCTGAAGGCTGGGGTGACTGGCAATTTCTTTTTTTTTTTTTTTTTAAAGATTTTATTTATTTATTTGAGAGAGAGAGAGTGAGAGAGAGCATGAGAGGGGACAGGGTCAGAGGGAGAAGCAGACTCCCCACTGAGCAGGGAGCCTGATGTGGGACTCGATCCTGGGGCTCCAGGATCACGACCTGAGCTGAAGGCAGTTGCTTAACCAACTGAGCCACCCAGGCGCCCCTGGCAATTTCTTAAAATAAGACAATAGTGAAATTTGCTGCATCGATCGACTCTTCCTTTCATGAATGATTTCTCTGTAGCAGGCGATGCTGTTTGATAGCATTTGACCCACAGGAGAACTTCCTTCAAAATCGGAGTCGATCCTCCCAAACCCTGCTGCTGCTTTATCAACGAAGTCCATGGAATATTCTCGACCCTTTGTGGTTGTTTCAACAATCTTCACGGCATCTTCACCAGGAGTAGATTCCATCTCAAGAAACCACGTTCTTTGTTTATCTGTGAAAAGAAACTCCTCTAAATCAGTGCAGCCACTCTGGAAAACTGTATGGAGGTTCCTCAAAAAGTTAAAAATAGAACGACTCTATGATCCAGCAATCTCAGTACTAGGTATTTACCCCAGGAATACAAAAATACTAACTCCAAGGGATACATGCACCCTGATGTTTATAGCAGCGTTATCTACAATAGCCAAACTATGGGACCAGCCCAAGTGTCCATGGGCAGATGAATGGATAAAGAGGATGTGGTATATAGATACAATGGAATACTACTCAGCCATAAAAAAGAATGAAATCTTGCCATTTGTAACAACATGGTTGGAACCGCAGAGTATTATGCTAAGTGAAATAAGTCAGAGAACCACAAATACCATATGATTTCACTCAAGCAAGCAAAAGGAAAAAAAAGAGAGATAGACAAACCAAAAAACATTCTTAA